ATCCTTGCTTCTAAGGAGCGTTCTGTCTGTACTTCTTCCAAGACAGATTTGTTCGTTGTTCTGGCAGTCCATGGTATATTCAGTATTTTTTACCAACACCATAATTCAAACACATTGGTTCTTCTTCGGTCTTCTTATTGTCCAGCTTTCACATGCATTTGAGGAGACTGAAAATAATCATGGCTTTGGTCAGGCACACTTTAATCCTCAAGATGACAACTTTGTTTTTTTTTTTTAACACCTTAAAGAGGTCTTTTGAAGCAGATTTGCCTAATGCAATGCGTCATTTGATTTCTTGACCGTTGATTCCATGGGCGTTGATTGTGGATCCAAGTAAAATGAAATGGTTGACAACTTGAATATTTTCTTCATTTATCATGATGTTGCTTAATGGTCCAGTTGTGAGGATTGTTTTCTTTATGTTGAAGTGTAATCTATACTGAAGGCTATAGTCTTTGATCTTCATCAGTAAGATGAAGATCCTTTTTTTGAAGAGTGATACTAAAAGAATTTTTTTTAAAACCTAAATGGAATTGGCAATGACATTAGAATAAATTCATATTCATATAGTTCATAGCATCTTTTTCCTGGAGCCACCAGTATAAGCACCTTCTCAGGAAGTTCATGACTTTGATAATTTATTTGCAAATACCATGAGAAATGTATCCTACCATAGTAAATCAAGGTGCTTTTGTTAATACTTTGGTGGAAAGTTTTAGATAAGATAGCCATCTAAATTATGTATCTGTGTATTGCCATGTATATTACATGTCTCTCTAACTTAATTGTCAGCTTATTGAGAACAGAACTTGGCTTGTTTTTCTTTTTTTCCTATATTCCCCAGAGCGTAGTACAGTTGTTGAAAACATAAATGATTGATTATATTAAAAGGGAGAATTGAGAGATACTCTCAGAAAAGCATTCAGCAGTAGACTTTGTGATTTAAACTTTGCTTTTAGGCACTGAGCAAAATGATTTAAAACTCAGACAGAAGCATTCTTTCTGTAGTTCTTTGTCTTCTTGGTCAGTTTCTTTTCTCAAGTACTCTGTCATTAAAAAGCTGGAAGAAGTTAGAGAAAATTGTGTTGAACAGCCTATAGTTTGTATTGAATTCCTGTACCAACTTAACTAATTATGTAAAATCCACAAAAATTCACCTGAATATTAGGAGTGGTAGAAGTGCTTGGAGGAATGATTGGTTGTCCCTCCCACACAGTTAATTTACTGAGCCTATCTGTGACTACTAACCCAGGGTCCCAGTCCCTTAACTAGGAACTCTGGTAGTCCTGTCCTTGTGTTAGACCACCTGAGAGAACCATGTAATCACATCTTGGTTTCCATATACTTTGCTACTTTGCCTTGGACTTAGATACTAACGTGTCAGATATGAAATGTTAGTGTTTGGTGTCTCTGAATTCTGGGAAAGATGTCTTCACTGCTCAGCTGTGCCACAGCTCAGGACGCCTGAATTCAAATATGGAACCATCCAGTGGAGATGCAAGTAACAGCTGTCTGGCCCATCATAATGCCTCTCTTTTCCTTTCTTTGCAGAACAAAGAGTGGAAGATGTCCGACTTATCCGAGAGCAGCATCCTACCAAAATCCCGGTAGGTAGCCTCAGGCATCTGTTCCAGCAGAAAAGAGCACTTCTCACCTAGAACCACCCTACAGGGGCCTGAGTACGCAGACTCTCTGAGGCACATGGGACCTTGGCTTGAGATGTCTTAATCTATAGTTTTGTTTTTTAAAGTAACTTTTAGAAGAGATCAATTTCCCCTCTATCCATATCTAATCACTCTCTTTTCTCTGAGTTTGCTGCCTTAATATTACATGCTTCACAAATCAAGTATATTCATTCGGGAGGAAAGGGGTCAGGGACTAGAACTGTTAATGTTTTAATAATGGAAGGCAGTATTTGGTTCAAGGAAGCAGAAGCTACTGCTGTGAGGATCAGTAGTGCTTAGAATGTGAACATTACTGCAGGTCAAGGCTGCCTGACTTTGAACTGAGTAGGTTCCCCAAAGAAGTCTCTTCTTGGATTTGGCTTTTTTAAAAAGCAGGAGGTGGAGACGACTCTGCTCTTTCTTGTCATGTGCAGGGGTGTCAGATGCTCCTTGCTGGGCTTCACCCACGGCTTCCTTCTAACCATCAGGCTTAGAGAGAAATGGTTCAGAGGAACCTACCTTTGGTGTCAGTCAGAGCTGAAGTCAAGTCCTTGGTTCAAGGTTATTACTAAGTGACCTTAGGCTATTTACTGAAATTCTGCAAGGAGCTGCAGCTTCCCCATCTGCAAAATGGAAAGAAAGTCCCACCTGTATGGGCTTTACAAAGAGTTGCATAATTCTGGGTACACTGTAGTCACCTAATGTTAGCTGAACTCACCTCCTACTAATTCTACAGACCACTTGGAAAGAAATTGCACCACTAAATTCTGTGGAAGCTTTCCCTTTTGGCTTTCTGACTGGTAATCTCATGCCCAAGAGAAAGGGGGAAGGAGATCCGAGATGCTGGGGTTGGGATTGGCATTATGCTGGTTGTGTTGGTACTTTAAGGAGCATAGACAGAGCAAGGATCGGTCTGCTCAGCATCTTCATGACTGTAAATCTACAGTAAAAGATGCGTTCTCCATTTTCCTGGCCTGGTTGGGAAGTTCACAGCCTGTCCTTGCACTTGGGGTCAGTCTGTGGCCCAGGGGGTGAACCTTCTGGGTGGAGTCTTTTGAGCATGGTCAGGGGCTGCATCTCACAGACATTCTACCTATTCATAGACCGTGCTTTCTCCGACCCTTTTAAGAAGCAAGTGAATAACATTTTTAAAAATATCCACTAACATTGTGCAAGGTTTGAAGTAATTGGATGCTTTCTTGGCTTTTCCTTCTCCCCAACCTGGTCTGCCTTGTTGAGCCGGTGTGGTTCTCAGACCATGCCCTTAACAACCAGAGCTTCAGCACGAAGCTTTCCAGAATAATGTTGGTCCATCTGTACTTTGCAGGAGAAAATTACTGAGTAATTTTCAGGTTTTTCTTCACTTGGAGTACTGCTGTGTCTCTTTGCAGGCACATGCTCATAACTGGAAACAAATAGCCAGCGAAACAGCTCATAAATGATCACTCTTCACAAGACAGCTATAAGGAAACTAAGAAATATGCTGGTTTTTATCCCCATTTTGGCATGTGCCAGGTACAGCATAGGAGGCATTTTCACTATTTTTCATTATTAATGACTTTTAAAATCAACAGAAGTGTTACCACTTTTCTGGCTTCTTTTTCTAGGTGATAATAGAACGATACAAGGGTGAGAAGCAGCTTCCTGTACTGGATAAAACTAAGTTCCTTGTACCAGATCATGTCAACATGAGTGAACTCATCAAAATAATTAGGTATTTAATCACCTGTTTTGCTTTGTTTTTCCTTTGGGTACCTTCTTATTCTTTATCAGACTTACAGATATATTTTTAGTGTAGTTCTGGTTAAAGTCTATGCAAGTTCAGTAAAACTAGAGATCTGTAAATTGCTTCAATTTCTGAAGTTTCTGTTTTTTAACCTCCTGGACCTTACATCCACCTGTATTTATTCATAATGTTCAGCCTAGATGTAGTCTCTGTATCAGAAGTGAGACGTTGTTAAAGTTTTATACAGTAAAATTAGTAAAAGTAGAATGCAGACTCTACAATGGCAGACTACACCAGCCTAGATCTTAGAATAGTTTCTAAATTATATTGTGAACTTTTTTCTCACATTAGACACAGCTGCTGTTCAGAAAGAATACTAGTTTAAAGCTGGCCTCAGTAATGCCATAGGAATATCTGTCATTGATTATAGCTAATATTTGTCATGAATATAATTACAGAAAATTCCCTGTGCTTTAGGAGAATATTAGATTCATCATCAGTAGGGCATACACTTTTATTTTGCCAGAAGCAGCATTTACAGAATCCTTCTGCATTTTTGTATCTATTTGGGTGGGTGATACACTCACACATGCTCCGTATGTAAAACATTAAACAGATCTTTTTGTGACTGTCTTGTTTTACTGTTCTTTATGTTACACTCTATATTTAGATTATGTCCTACAAAGAAAACTGTTCAGTATCCAGGTTGAGAAGATAGTTTTAACATGAATTAGGAAGAAAATCTTTATGTTTCCTTTCCTCCACAGGTTGAGGTGTGATCAGGCCAGGCCAGGGTAGGGATATGCATGAGCTACAGTGCTACATTGCAGTCGAGATGTGATCGGTTCAGTGTAGTGCCACTAACTGAGCACTGCTGTGATCCACCTCCCACCCCCATTTACTTCTTCCTCATGGTTAATAGGTAATACAGCACACCAAGTGAAACATGGAGAACCCTGAAACAAGACCCCCAAAAGCATGAAATCTTCCTAGAACCTTCTAGAGAGAGGCCCAGTGCTCCATTCTTGATCTCTGTGATGCGTAAATTGTACTGATAAGCGGCTACTTCTTCCCATTGTTTTCTTTCAACAGAAGGCGCTTACAGCTGAATGCTAACCAAGCCTTCTTCTTATTGGTGAATGGACACAGCATGGTGAGCGTCTCTACACCGATTTCTGAAGTGTATGAAAGTGAGAAGGACGAAGATGGATTCCTGTATATGGTATATGCCTCTCAGGAGACGTTTGGAATGAAATCGACCGTGTAAGACTAGCAAAACGCATCTATTCTAGAATTTTTAAACCATTACCAAGGAAAAAAAAGGGATGTTAACAACTGAGATTGATCAGTTCATCTAATCACAGGTCATCAAAGCAGTAGTGTTTCCACCTAGGACTTTTAGGAAGTTGTTTTTGTATTTCAGGCAGCAAAACTGAGCTCCAAATGAGCATATTCAGCTTCAGAAAACTATTATTTAACCTAGGCTGTCTTGTTTTCAAATCTTAGAAGTTTAAAAATAAAATACTTTGCATTTTAAGTTGCCAATAAAATAGATCTTGGAGTTATTATAATGCTCTTTTCCCCCAGTAGGAACTTGTAATCTGAGCAGTAACTTAAAGTCCTTCAGAGAGACACTCAGTCTTCTCTGGAGGTTCACAGAGCCTGCCGACTTTTCATGGAAGGCTTTCTGCTCCACTAGAGAAATCTCCTCAAAAGGATCTTTAAAAGCATGAGTTGTCAAGCATAATGTCCCCAAAACTCATTTGCCATAGTAGGTGGCACAAAGCAGGGTAAATGGGGGTGTATTAAAAACATACCTCTGGCTCTGAACTGCTGTCCAAGCTTCCTAATTCCTAATAGGAAGAATACCAAAAGTCAACTCGTTTGCAGTGTCAGAAAGTTTAATAAACACCAAGCTGTTATTTGGTTTGTTCACTAGACAGTTACACACAGAAAAACACCACAGCTTAATAGGAATCTTGAATAATTTATCATTCTGTTCTAGCCCTAGAGAAGAAAGGAATGACATTTTTTCTATTTTAGGTTTTTTCCAGTCTAAGAACTCAAACCAGTAACTGGTTTGGTAAACAAGCAGTTTTATCAGTTCCATTCTTTAGGACAGTGGTAGAAACTTTAAAAACAAGGAAGCATAATTCAAATGCACCCCAAGCTTAAATCCATGTTATATATGTTAAGTGTGACTAATATATTAAAAATTCTCACATTTTTAAGAGTACTTCAGTGATCACTGTTAGGTGAAACCATCAAAATCCACCCATCCTAAGCGCATGTCACTTACGAGGAAAATGTAGCAAAAGGAGACATAAGCTCTTTACAAATGTCAAGAGTTAAATACCTTCAAAGTTCAACCTAGAACAAATGACTTGATGTGTCCTGCTCCTTGCATGGGTTTACTATTTACTAACTTCGTGGGAGCATCCCTGAAAGGCCAGTCTCTGTAGACTGTGTGTGGCAGGTCAGTTTATCCTTGTGTATTTAGGTGTGTGTGGAATCCCTGTCTCTGTTAGTGACCGTTATTCTACTGGAAGGAAAAGCACTATTTCTGCTATGGGCACACTCCCTGCTGCTAACAGAGCCCCACTTCCTGTGACCTTCTCTTCTCCTGCATGCGGCTGTCCACAGTGCCCACTTCTAATATGTATATTTTTGCCACATTATGTAAATTCTTAACCAGCCTGTCTTGTTTCAATTGTGTATGTCGTTATATCTGACATCCTTGTAACTACTCTGTGATCCGTAAGATTCCTGTAAGTAACTGTTTTGGGGGGGGGGGAACCATGCTGAGAGGGGTGATTTATATCCCACATGACATTAGCAGGTGGTCATTTTGTTTATAGGATCTTTGAAACATTTTTAATGAACTAAGGTGAATAAAGGCACAATGAAAAACTGTCATCAAAGCTCCATTTAATGGGGTTAGTGTTTCTGAGGTTACAGTCCTACGCACTGTTCGTACTTTCCTAATGAGCGCTTCAGCTAGTTTTGCGGTGCTGGAGCACATTGCACTTGTAGTCAGTGTTTCTGCAACCTGCATCTGGTCAGGGCTCCTTCCTTACTGCCTGAGGCCCTGCACCAGGTTATGCCTTGACAAAAACTCTCCCGAGAACTTTGTCAACATGCCACAGAGTATGAGGAGGGTAGATGTGTGGGACCTACGGGTTCTTGGAGAAGTCAACACTTGAAAACTACTGCTCTGAACCAACAACGAAGTAAAAGTATTGACAAAGTGTGCGTGCACTTGTCAGCATCACATGGTTTCTGGAGCCTCCCGTGACACTGTGGGAGCTGCTGTTATTCGGTAATGCTGTGGTGTAAGTGTACTTAATGATGTACCTGCAGGCTGAGACCAGACTAGTAGTAGCCAGCATTGCCCACTTAGCAAATTCTGGATTCAACTTAAACTTAAGCCAGCTCTTAATACTGGAGGCTGAGGAAACACTGCTCTCCAGAGTCAGCTGTTCAGTAACGTGTTGAGTTACACCAGTCTTCCTGCTGCTCCTGGCCAGCACAGCTCCTTTAGGTGACCCAGAGGCCCTTGAGCCTCTGGGTCACCTGAAGGAGGCCATCCTATCAGAGTGACCAGGACTGCTTCCAAAAGGAGAGGCCAGCTTCTCTCTGATCTCATTGATCTGACAGCAGCCCCACCTGTGCCTGGAATTGTGTGCCCATGCATGCACTCTTGTCCTAAACACAGACTTGACCAAGACCAAGAGGTCTCCTGGTTGGGTAGAAAGCGCCAGAATTCTACCTCTGGTGCCTGGCACGCAGCTTATAAGAACACCCTCAGTCCTGGACAAACGCGTCTTTAGACTGCAACCTACCCAAATACAGAAAAAGGATTTTAGATGCTATGTAGGTGTGGCTCCTTGTTATCTTGCACCACATAGCTACCCTCAGTTTTCTAGGTCTAAAACCCTAAGAGGGTGCTTCCTCCTGGAAAAAGCCTGCCTCAGTACATGTCCACGGTGGAGCGAATGTATTACCATCAACCTGGATTTTTATGGAACCTATAGCAGCATCTTTAACCCAAAATCGAGAATTAACATTTATATTAGCAAGGACAGTTAAGAAAAACAAAACACTGGGAACCTTGATAAGACAACAAATGGGTTCTAGACCAGGTGTCCCTTTTACCAATCTAGGCATAAAGGAGGAAGAACTAAACCCCTAAGTCTGGAGATCAAGAATTGAATTTAATTAAAAAGATATGCCCTTTGTATTCTATCAGACAAAAACCTAATGAAATGAAGCACTAAGCCTTTTTTTAAATTTTTATTTTCAGTACATTAAATTTACTCATAAAAACATTCTAAAAATGTACAATTTTTCCTTTTTAACAAAGTATAATAAAACATAAAAACCCCAAAAACAGAATACTTGACATTTACAATTCAAAATCAAATTAGCAGAATATTAAATATTTACAAAACTATATCTTTTAAAAATATTTATAAAGTTACATGCAATTTTGTAGAATTGACAAAAGAATGGCTCAAAAATGGGAGAATTTTCCTTCATTCCTAAAAAGAAAATATGTCCAATAGAAGCTGTAAAGATTCTTGAGTACACAAGGTTTTCAGTACCAAAGCCTTTTATCTTTTTGTGCATGTAAGAACTTACACATATATCTTTTTTAAAAAAAACATAATGAGGGCTTATTACACACAAAGTTGTGTCTGGGGACTGATGGCCTTTGCTCCCCTCCCTCGGTGAATAGTGTAGTAACATTGACCTTTGGCCTCAACCAGCACAGTATGTAGTTTTCTAGAGTATTGCGAGTGTTGATGAAAGACGCCCTCTTTCACTCAGACCCTTGGGACTTAGCTGCTCAGCCTCTTTGGAACCCATGGCTTTTATCGTCCCCCAACTCAGATATTTAGGAGCTCCCTGTGCTGGAGACCAGCCGGCCGCTCCTGTCCCACAGGGCAGCTCTGGGTGCTGGACAGGTGAGCAGCGAGGCATCTCCCTGACAACCCTAATACTTCAATGTGCAATGCCACCAGCTACTAGTATGCAAAACTAGCATGGCGTAAAATGGAACGCCACTAACACAGGAAGAGTGAGGAGGGGGTGACGGATTAGGAGGGAGCCACCCAACGCCCCTCGGCCAGTGCTCATCACAGTGGAAGCTAATGTGGACTGTGCTCCCAACAGGAAACGGTATATGACAGCTGTAACTTTAGGCAAAGTTACTACACTGCTACTGTGCCTCGGTACATAGTTTGTAGTGTAAACTAACTGTTGACTTCTTGCAATAAAGAAACTAGAATTCTAAAATACTGAATTAAAATAATGAACTTACGAACTAATACTATATTAACAAGCTGACTCCTAGTGTAGTCTTGTGGAGATTATAGATGCTGGTTTTTAATACCCAATCACATATTCTTTCAAGAACAGTGTTTGTCTTTATTTCCAATATAAGTGCTAGCTCCCATTTCCTCAGTGCTCTTTAGCAATTAGGAGTTTTAACGCTTAAACACTTTCCAATTTTCTGTATTACCATGAAATAAAAATTACAAGTAAGGTAGAAAATTGAGCGTTTTGCTTAAAAAAAAAAGAAAAAAAACAACAAAAAAAGACTAAACAGTTGTTTTATCCTGACATTGTGTTCTACTTCGATCTGTACATTCGATTCTCCCCATTCTTGGAGATAAAACACGGGCGAGAACTTTTACTGTACGCCCTGCTCAGGGGCACATGCGTAGGTGGTGCCACACCGACTGCTGCAGCATCTGAACAGATCACCATTTCAGGGAGTGCATGAGAGGACCGCGTGATCTGTGTCTTCAACTGGCTATGGTGTCTTCTGATGACTGAAATGCTCTTTAGGCTTACCGACTCCAGTGACTTGTGGAGAGAAATTCGTCAGATAATACTGCTAGCAAATACTCTGAAGTCCAAGTGTGGGACTCATTTAGGAAAAGACTTCAAATATCAGCAGTTGAATTATTTTCTGTACCGTATAGCACGTATTTGTATCTCATGGTTCTTGACTGAACAGCCTTGTTGGAGACATCATACCACACATGCACTTTCAAAAGACAAGCTGAAATTTCTAAGACCTCTGATGACTGGAACACAGCCACAACGTCTAAACTTCTTGACCTCGGTTCTGAACGTTATCCTTCAAATCAAAACTGTGGGTTTAATGTGTTGATGAGCTGCTAGCATTCATCAGAGTAGTTCTATAAGGGTAACAACAGACACTTTCATGCCCCAATACTGCCACTAAATAAAAACTTAAATATGATTGTTTTCTTTTGTTAAGAGACAGTTTTCAACAATTTCACTGTGTTGAAACAGGATTTATTTAAAATATGTCTTCATTTAAAAAAACAAAAAATTTAAAAGTTTGGCTTTCAGCACATATCCAGGCCACTGTGACAGCCTTCAGAAATATTAGAATCGTAAACAGCAGTGAGCACTCCAAGTCTTTCTTTAACAGAACAGGATAAGCTCCAGTCCAGTACTCTTTAAGGCAAAGTTGTGTCAGTTTTCATTATTTTGACATTTTGTAGTTTTTATAATTTTTTAAGAGATCAATGTAACATTCCCCAAAATAGCTGTTGTGTCACCATTACTTCAGAGCCATGTGTAATACTGGGTGCCACGAGTGGGATTGGAATGCAGGTTCTGTCAATTCTGCATTGCATAGAAATGAAACGCTACGAAAATAAAACTCTACTAAAAGCCTTTCATAAAAAATGTTAACAACGTTCTGCTTTCGTTTCCACGAAACCAGGAAACGCGTCTCAACATCTGAGGCCTCACATCACAATGCCTCCAATTCTATTCTTTTGATTTGTACCAATTTTGCATGAGGCTGACTGTCCCATTTCATGAGTGGTGGGAGAGTATAGAGATTTTCTTCTTTTTTAAATAAAAACTGGGAAATCGCTGGCAAAACCTTACCGATCAATATTTTAATATTGAAAGCTTTAGAATTTTAAATAACTATTTTAGCAGAAAATTCCCTTCAACCTTGAAGATTTAAATCCCTAAATTTCAGACTAAAAAGCTTTCATCATTACAGTGGGTTGAAATTTAGAGATCTATGGTGAAGACTTTATTTCCTATCTTAATAATAACACTAGACTTCTACAAATACTATTTTGTTGTGTGGTCTCTTTCAAAGTCTACTTTCCACTGAAGTTTTCCAGGTAATTTTAACGGAATTAACTAGTAATACACAGTCTAATACAAAAGAGTTGACAGGAAAAAATTTAACTCTTGTTTGTAAATTATAGGGTTGTCTTATTGTTGAAATGTCTCAAATGTGATGCCTTAGCAGGCAGCCTTGGGGGTGCGAGTCCGTGTTGGAGAAAGCAAATTGCAAACTCGGCCAAGGATGTGTTGCATCCGTCAGGGCCAATGCGCCCCAGAGGTCGGTGTTACTGTGTCTCTGGAAGAGCTTGTTCGTGCTGGAAGAAAACAGGACTCACAGCTACTGCAGGGCTGGAAGGGAGGGGTTCTCAGAGCCTGATGACTGGATTCTCTGGGACTTGGACCCTTAGAAATTAAGTTGTTGCAAGTAAACTATTCCTATTGAATAATTAAATTTATTTGCAGAAAAAAAAAAAAATTAGAAACCTGAAACTGCTACAAGTGTTTGAGGAGGGAGGGAAATAGTTACATCTCTGTGGTTTCGGAAGTCTCATTGCCTTCTGGTGCCAGCTCTTTGATCCGGATGGACAACTCAGCTCTTGCACTGGCTGGTCTCAGAGGAGGTCTGTCTCCCAGAACTGCAGAGATCCACCTCATTCTACATTCTTCTGTAGTGCAATCCTTGAAAATCCCAGAGATCAGTGCCTAACCATTTTAGGGAACAACAACAACAAAAGTAGACATTTTACCTAACCAGGGGTGTCAAGACTCCAACTGGTGAAACTCCACTTGGAAAACGTCAACCTTCAGTCCTCGGTTCAGGTCGCATGTAGCTGCCCTGGAGCTGTGTGTCAGCCTAGAGGGCCCGTCATGGCTGTGCTCTTCAGAGGTGGGAGGTTCCTGCACTGCCACCACAGACACTGGTGGCAAACTTCACCAACCATGGAGACACCCACTAGGCAAGTCCTGACAGCAAGCTCCAAACTCGGGTTTTGGCAATAAAATTGAGTTTGATGCACTCCTAAGCTAGGTTTTCTATTCAGTCTAGTAAAGTAAAGCACCTTTGGATTAAAAATATTAAGCTCAACAGCAACTAGACTGCTCAGTTTTGTATTTAATTTTCCTCATGACTCCATGGCTTAATAATGTTCTGTTGCCAGAGAAAAATAATCAATCTGTGGAGTCCAGACTTTCTGCTGGAGGGGCATATTTCAACCTAAAAGTACCTGGAGAGGGCAAAAAGAGATCACATTTGAATCAGTGCAGGATTTCCACAACAACTCATCTATCCAAATTCATTTCGAGTCCTTGGTCAAAATTTTGGTGCTGGAAAACTAGTCAGCCTGTTCTTACCATCTCAACACTCCCTCCCCCAAAGGTGGATCTTATCGTATGAGTTAATAATACCATACAAGAGGGGAAAATGACTAAAAAGAAAAGTTCTAACCATTTCTTCACTCTTTAAAGCTCCGTCCCGGGATTCAGGCTCTACACAGCTGGTAGGTATGTTATGAGCCTCCCTACCCTGGGTCTGCGCAGGTGAGGCCTGGCTGTCAACATGGGGGAGGGGGAGGCGTCTCCAGGAGGGGAGCCCAGGGATAGGGGAGAGCCAAGTGGAGAGTCCCCGCCACAGCCCACCAGTGCCACTTATAAGGAGTACTGTGAAGCCATGAAGATAGCGTCAGAACCAACAGGAACCCTTTTTTGGGCCTCATAGCCTATCTTTAAGATTCTCATGCTTTTTAAGAGCATTCGAAAAACTTTTCCTTTAAAAAGAAGAAAATTTACTATTATCTTCATGAAAATTAAAGCTCTGTGTGCCTTCCCCCAAGCCTCAGTGGCTTTCTAACACCAGTGTGGGGTGTGGCCCCAGGAAGCTTAGGGAAGCCCCAGATGTCCCCGGCGCCATCCGCCTTTTACCTTGCCGGTTGAAGTCCATGGACGGCTGCTTGCAGTCCTGAGCCCGGTGGCCGGTGGCCCCACAGTTGTAACAAGAGAGGTTCCCACTCTTTTTATGACTTGAGCCATTGCTGCTGCCCAGTAGCCCCTGGGTCTGGTAGACGCCAGCTGAGCCTGCCATGAAGTTCTGCATCGGGGGGACAGCGAACGTGGACTGCCCACCCAGCACGGAGTCTGCAGCCAGGCTGCCGCTGTACGGGGAGTGGACCACCGGGAAAGCGGCGCCCCCGCCATACTGCTGGGTGCCCACGTAGCCACTGCTGCACATGGGGCTGAAGGGCAGGAAGGGGAACGTAAACACAGACGGCCCTGAAAACGGGTGCTGGAAGTAGTTGGCGTAGCTGACCGTCAGGCCACTCGACCCACAGCTCCCGCTGCACCCACAGGACGTGCAGACGATGCAGCCGGGTGGTGGTGGTGCAGGCTGCGGTGGCGCCGGCTGCTGCTGATGGTGGTGGTGGTGGTGGTGGTTTTGACTGGAAGCGGGAATATTTCCCGTGGAGCCGCTGCTGCTGCTGTAGAAACTATTCTCAGGAACCGAGGAAAGTGTGGGGCTGGGGCTGGGGGCTGGGCAGCTGGTCAAATTTGCCATGTTTGCAAACGAAGTCGACGGGTGGCTACTGGAAGAGGCAGTGTTGCTGTTTGCACAGAAGCTGCCTTGCATTGGGCCCACAGGCACACTGCTCACTGCAGAGAAGGCAACTTTGGTGTTGGCTGTGTACAGAGCAGTCCGGGGGTTGATTATTGCAGGGGGCACACTTATCTGCACACTGTTGGAGCAGGAAGTCTGCCCAGAGACGGCCGAGTCCGCAGGGACTGATGAGGACACCAGGAGCTTGATGGGCGGCCGAGCCACCTGGAAGACAGAGCTTGAGGTGCCTGTGGCCGCAGTGCTGGTGTCCACCACCAGGGTGGGCTGCTGGGCCGTCTTCATCACCCGGTCCAGTGCAGAGGCGTGCACAACTTTGGCCCGGGGACCAAAGGAGACAGTGGGGGACAGGGAGCTGCCCTCGGGGACGGCGGCGAGGACCTGCACGGGCTGGTGGGGAGCGGGTGCAGGCAGCACATCCATCAGGGCGTTCCCAAAGCCCTTATCCACTTTGACGCTGCTTCTTGCTCCAGAGACTTTGCCCCTTTCTTCTAGAGACAAGAGTGAGTGCATGGAAGCCGAGAGCAGCTTCACGTCCGTGGCACCTCGCTCCGCTTTGTGGACGGAGCTCAGCAGCCGCATGGGCGCGAGGTGGGAGGCTGTGGGCATCATCTGTGGGGGCAAGGCGTGGTGGCCTGCTGTGCTGGAGCCCGCCTCGTTCTGCACAGGGAGGACCTGTGCTGTGGGGCGGGCCGAGCTGGAAGGGAAGTGGTTCAGCAGCATCACTGGCTTCTCCTTCTCAGAGACCTCCAGGTGGACCTCAGTACCTGGAGAGGAAATAGAGCGTCAGCGCACTTCCCATCAGGCCGAGCGGCCGGCCCCAGAAGACTGGCACGGGAGTCCTTACGTCTGTCGTTCTCCTCAGCACTGTCCGAGCTCTCCTCCCGGGCCTGCACCCCCATCGGGCTGGACGAGGAGCTGGAGTATTCTGAGGAGCTGCCTTCCCGGGGCACCTGGTGAGCCGGCGGCTCCACCTCCACCCGCAGCTCTGCAGAGAAAGGTGGGCGTCAGGCCAGCGAGATGCAGGTGGGCAACCCACCAACCAGCACTCACCAACTGCCCCAGACTATGCTAGGCCTTTCACGGGCATCTATCTAGTTGATTCCTTTACACCAGCCTGAAGGAGACAGGACTATTATCACCATACTACAGCCAGGCCTCTAAGGTTCTTAGAAAATAAACTGCCCACAGTCGCCTGCTAGTTATGTAGCAAAAACACGGGTGCTTCTGTCTCTCGAAGCCATGCTCTTAACAATATGCTATCATGCCGCCCAACTTAAACACTTAATAAGAAACAGGATTTCCAAAGTAACACTGAGCTATCGGTCAGTGCTTTAAAAGTAATCTCACCATGTGAGAACTCCATTTTTATGAGGCTGAGTGATGTAGGATCTTTTTCATCAAATAAAACACCTAAAACACACCCTGGCATTTACAGCTACTGTTACATGTACTCTTGCTGTGATGTGTCTTTTGTCCTGTGAGGCAGCAGAGTACTGCAGGTGTCCGTGGCCTCCTTCAGAGGAGAAGCTACTTTTTCTAGTGAGAGGGACAAAGAGGATGGCCGTGGGAAGTCCAATCGCTGCAACTTTCTGCCTCTGCGAGAGGAGACAGGGTGGAGAAGTGGACGCTGTTGGCGGTCAGGCACCCAGGAAATTTTGGGGACAGGCCTGCAGGGCAATGGGTGAGACACGACCTCTTTGCGCCAGTCTTGGGGCAGAAGACATTTTCATTATTTGTTCACTTCTACTCTTTCCCTCTTACCATAGAAGTTTCTGGGTCTAATGCTTTTGACCAAACAACTTCAGTCAAGTCACCATTATCCTGCTTCTAACCGAAACTATGCCCTTTATTTTCCCATGGCAGAGATCATAAAAGTTAAAATAATGAAAAATAAGCGTGAATTTAAAAAATGTAAACGGAAAGTGGGTGTAATTTGAGGTCTAATTAATAATCAACAGAACACACTGCTGCACTTGTGAAAGGCCAGGGTATTTAACGGCAAACATTCGATGCCTCGGCCTTTGCCTCCCGCCCCCCATGGCAGCCCCTCCCCCACCTGCAGCATGGCTGCCGCGCACAGGCTGCAGGGGCCCGACGTGGCTGGTGGGGGGCACACGCGCCACGCCGCTGCTGGTGACCGAGGGTGGGGCTGAGGGGTTCAGGCACCGCTTCTCTGACTTCTCCCTATGAGAGAAGGAACCATGGGAACAAGTGAGTGTCAGAGCCTTTTGCTCATGAATCTTTTAGTGGTTCTCAAACTCTGTTTAAGTACCTATGTTCCACATAAAGGTGACTGCCATCAAAATAATCTCTAAGGTGGAATGTAATTAATTCTGACTTTTGTCCAGTTCACTACGAAGTGCCTTTCCTATCAAACCAAAGACACATATGTAGACCTTATAACCAAGCATTAATTAAGATTTCTACAGCAATGAAAAGTAATCTAATCACTGATATTTAATAAAATTATAAGTCCTAGAGCTCTGTCCAGCAAATAGGAAACTAAAATGAATACAGATCTCAAAAAACAATGTCACACTTACTTTTCCAGCTCTAGTTGAGTCTTGAGCTTTTTTTTCGCTCCCATGGTGAGGGACTCAAATTTATTAAGATCTTCTTCAGTAAGGCTCAAAAACTTCCGAAATAGGAGAAACAAATTATAAAGTTACTGAGAATTAATTAGGACTCTGAAAACAGAACTTGAAGTTGAATAAATTTATTCTATCTCTAGGATATGTTAACTGATCAACTTAACTATACAATAAAAGAGTTGGGAAAACAAAAACATTCACTTGCTAAATAATTTGATGTCACCAGTTCAAAATATGAACCACTACTTTTGCGGATCTCGTGTGTCTGCCTGGGCTTCAGAACAGGCTTTTGCTCCTTTGCGAAGATCAGGAAGCTGGAAAACATACACTATACCGGCAGATGACTAAAGGAAATATCTTGTACCAGTCAGTCCAACTGCTACAGAGATGCCATTTAAGATGGCATCCCCACCACAATGAGCTACCACTCCACACCCACTAGCATGGCGATTATCAGAAAAATAACTGGTGTGGCACGGACATGAAGTTGGAACCCTCATCCACGGTTAGTGGGGATGTAAAATGATGAAGCCATTGTGGAAAAGTATGGTGGTTCCTCAAAAAGTTAAACATGACATTACCATATGACCCAACATTTCCACTCCTAGGTATCTACTCAAAAGCATGAAAACAGGGACTCAAACAGATACCTGCACACCAACGTTCACTAAGGCATTATTCACAATAGGCAAAAAGTGGAACCAATCCAAGTGCCCATCAACAGATAAAATGTATAAATAAAATGTGGTATATTCATACATAAGGAGCCCTGGTGGCACAATGGTTAAGTGCTTGGCTGCTAACTGAAAGGTTGTCAGTTTAAACCTACCAGCAGCTCCGCGGGAGAAAAAAGATCTGGCAATCTGTTCCTGTGAAGATTTTAGCCTATAAACCTATCAGGCAGTTCTACTCTGACCTATAGGGTCATTAAGAGTCGGAATTGACTCAATGGCACACAACAACATATTCAATGGGATATCATTCTGTCATAAACAGAAATGAAATTCTGATACATACTATGACATGAAGCTTGAAAACATTATCATGAGTGAAATAATTTACACAACAAAGGACAAATACTGTCTGATTCCACTGACATGAATCTCTAGACATATGCACAGAGAAACAGTTTGTCAGTGGTTACCAGGCTGGAAGGGGGTGAAATGGGACGTATTGCTTAAGGGGTACTGAATTTCTGTTTAGGGTGATGAAAAACAGGTAAAAATGGATAATGATGATGGTTGCACAACATGGCAAATATAATCGTCACTTAAAAATGGTCACAATGGTATGTCTTATTATATATTATTTTGCCACAATATAGAAGACAAATAAGGGGCAGGGGGGTAGAGAAGAAAGCATCTCTCTGCTGGATGAGCTCATCAAACCACAAGCGAGTGAGAACTGAGCAGCGCTCAGTGCTCTTCTGAGAGCAGAGCACCTGGCCTGCCCACCCGTCTGTCCTACAAGACTGTGAGGCTGCAACAGGAGCACAGTCTTCTTCCCATGGCCCCTTTTCTCAGCGTCACCACTGTTTTAGGGATGACAGCAACTTTGTCGAGTAGTAAGTGATCCAGAGAAGTAACTGCCATCCAAACTGAGTGGCTACATGACCCACAGGCCTGATCCTAAGCAGACAAGCACTGCTCTAGTGTGCACAGCTTTCCAGAGCATGATCTGTGAACTCAGCCATTTCAATGCACACGTTCAGATTAAAATTTTAAACAGTCAAATCTGTTTTTAAGATTTATGAACCCTAAACAGAGGATGTACAAATACACTTACATTTGTTTTTGTTTCTTTTCTACGTAGTTAAAAGCTTGATTTCAAAGTTCAATTGTAGATTTTTCAATAAATGAAAATTTTACACAGATAAAAGCCACCAAATCATTTTACCCAGCAGGGGGAGCTCAGAGTTCAAACACTGTATACAGGCTTAATGGACTTTTGCAATCATCAGTGACACCAAGATTAATAAACTTCAGAATTCTTTAACAATGAAAAATGCTCCCTATGGGAAAAAATAATTTCCATGTAGGATTTCTGGGAAAACACGAAATCTACTGGCTCCTCTAGATACCAAACCAAAACCAAATCTGCTGCCATCTATCTAGTCGATTCTGACTCATAGCAACCCTGTGGGACAGGGTAGAACTGCCCCATAGGTTTTTCAAGGAGCAGCTGGTAGATTTGAACTGCTGAACTTTTGGTTAGCAGCTGAGCTCTTAACTACTGGGCCAATAGGGTGCCCCTCTAGATACAGGCCCCTCAAATCAAGTCGGATCATCAGAGCGGGTGATGCGGATCCGCACACAGGCCCTGTAAACTGGTCTCAGGAGCATTAGCACAGGCCCACATGGAAGGACACTTTATAAAGGGAGGGACAACAGAAGTCACTGTCTCTACGTATTGCAGGGACGCTGGGCAGAGTATCCTTCACACCACACAGCACACCTGGTTTGTGAAGACTCAACAGGACCTAGAAAATCTGTTGAAAATGAACTCTGTTTCTATCTCTGCTCTGGTTGCAGGAGCTTTCAAGGTGCACCCACTGCCGCCCTCCAACAGTTGTCAACCCCAGGCTCTATGCCTTTCTCACCCTTATCTCTTCCATATCATGTATATTTTGGAAGCCCAATTCAATTCCTTTAGGAATAAGGTTGGAAGAAGACAGGTGATCTGAGAAAATAGCCAATCAAAATCCACACTGCCTGCCTGGTAACTAACATACCTTCTCCATTGTGAGTTGCTTAAAGACGGGATAGTACTTGTGCAAACGCAGTTTCCTGAGCCAATCTAAAATCCCATTTTGCTCCTGGGTTTGAGGGCTCTGCAGACTGGAAGACATCAGGATGGCAGGCGAGGCATCCATCTGGGCTCGGTAGGTCAGCGCCGAGCCGGCACCCGCAGGATGGGCGCAGTGGGGCAGGGTGGCAGCCGCACTGGCAGAGTGCTGCATGTGGTGCTGGGTGCTGTTCTGCGGGGATGGGATGCCAGCTACTCCACATACAGGCCTGCAAGGACAGCAGACAGGTGGGGGAGCACGGTGCCTATCACCCAGAAGGATGTTAAGATCCCCAGCAGAGAACACAGAGCCATATCTCCACTCCACACTGCACCCGAGACTATAGTCCACCACCAAATGAGGGACACATGACAGCCATTTCCTGTGTCTGCCCCTCCCCTCCACAACCACCACAGCAGTCAATGTGTCCCCAGGCCTGTCTGTGTGCATACATGTATTTGAGTGCATGTGCTCAAGAATATGTGTGTACATATACATTTGCATGCACATGCTTCAATATGTCTATATGTATATGCATACATGTTTATGTGCATGTGTGCACACATGTATTTGGATGCATGTGCTTCAACATGTCTATATGTGTACTTAAGTGTATATGCATATGTGTATATATGTATTTGTATGCATGTGCTTAAGGGTAGGTGTATGTGCACCCACGCACCTATTTGTCACCGACAGACTTTTGGTTGAGCTGCCTCGTTTCTGTTACTCTAAATCATGCAGCAGGTCATCACAAATTAAAACTGACTACTGAATCTTTACTATTCAAATTAATTTTTTAAAAAAGTAAAGCCTGGAAGGAACAAAAAGCCTCCTCCTCCTCCTCCCTGCCCTTGCCTTCCCACACGTCCATTTTTAATGAGGAGCCCTGGGACCTCTAGCCCCAGGGGTTCAAGAAGCAGTCTTCGGGAAATCACAAACTGCATTCTCTCTCTCCATACTACTCAAGACTAAAATGAGGACAATTTAACTCAAGAAACAATTGTTTACACACAACTGAAAAGCTGTTTATCATAGCAAAAAAACTTTGTAAAATTCTTATTTGAAATCTGCTGGGGAAGTAGAAAGTTTCTCACCTTCCAGATACACCCATCATAGTACCTACTTTAGAAAGGGAGGGGTTGCCAGGACCTATAAATGAAAAATAAGTATGATAAAAATGTAGAGACAATAAAAATATCTTGATTTTTATCTAATCACATTTTACAAACTTACTTGGACTTTGAAGCTGTTGGGTGGGAGATGAAGTGCTGAAAAATTTCTTAACATGGTCGTTTTTTAATACATGAGAAGGCAATGAAGCCAAATACCTAAAAATTAAACAAAGTGATCGTATTAGCATTAAAATGGTATTATCAAAAACTAACTGGGATAGGAAGTTTAATTTTCAATTAAGAGAAAATACTGACAGAAGAAAACAAGAAGTGCCATGAACTAATATTCTTGTTGTTTCCCCATATTTCACTTCTCTTATACTTTACATTGTATTAAATCAAGAAGTATTCAAAGGAGCCCTGGTATGGGCAGTGAACTGTAATGCAAAAATGATCATAAATACTGGCAACAAGCACACTCAAAACGTCCAATGAATGCACTGCAGCCAGTAATGGGTGTGCCGAAGTGGCAATCCCAGGCCAAGGCAGCCGCCATCTCTCTGCACATGCACAAAGCCAGTGGCCACTATCACTGTGTGTGCTATGAGAGGACCAAGGGCCCAGAGAAACTCTTCCTGTGACACTTTTTATCAGGCCCTAGTTTTATCTTGGAAGAGTCTCAACTGTCAACTGCAAAAGAGAAATGATAATCAGATTATATACGATTGTCAAAATGACATCAACTGGTGATCTATACTCTGAAAGTCCTTTACTCATATCCTCCAAATCACTCGAAGGTTTTTCAGATCCTTCACATTTGCCTAACTGATGGAAACCCCTAGCAGGAAAGGAGAGACCCAAACCAACGTGACCAAGATGTCCTCTCAAGAGCCCCTTGTGTGACTGGAGCATCTCATCCCTGGACCTGCCTACCCTGCCCTCACTGCCCTCAGTCACCACAGGGCCACCAGCTGGGCTGCATCCCTGCGGCCCCTGAGTGGAAGGGCCAGAGCTTCCAGGAGCTGGTGACGAGAGCAGCCCCTTTATTCGAGAGTTACCTCAGGTCCGCTTCCAGATCCATGTGGTTTCGCTCTACATAAAACGAATCTGGGCCAGCTAAGCAAGGAATGAATTTCTCCAAATTTTCTTCAGGGTACAGCTGAGATAACTGAAAAAGATGAAAACAAAGAAGAATATTGCAAATGATGAAGAAAGAATAAGATGTCATGTCAAACACACCAGGTAATACATTGCTCTTGTCTTTTAAGTAAACTTAGGACCTAGAGCTTTAAATATATAAAGCACTATAATAAAGTATGGAGCCCTGGTGGCGCAGTGGTTGAGAGCTACAGTGAGCTATGGCTGCTAACCAAAAGGTCAGCAGTTTGAATCCACCAGTTGCTCCTTGGAAACTCTATCAGGCAGTTCTACTCTGTCCCATAGAATCTCTATAAGTTGGAACTGACTCGACAGCAGTGAGTTTGGATTGGTTTTTTTATATTATAGTAGTAATTCATTTCACGTAACTTAAATTTCTCAATTGAAGGAAAATGTGAGCAAGTATTAGATGCTGACATCTCACGGGATGATCTAATGTACCATCTGTTAGTCATTTTAGAGTTCAATATCTGCTGAGAATGTAGAAAGCCATAAAAGAACACTGTTCCCAAAAGAACAAGAAAAAGCCAGATAATCTACACAACTGAAACTTCCCAAGACCATCAGAGAGCTGAAGTTGCAAGGCCACCAAGTGAACAGAATTTCGAAGAGGCACCAGCCACCTGAGGAGAGACAGGGCACGTGGCCCATCCCAACTCTGCGGAGCATGGAGGGAGAGCAGCTGTCTCCCAGCAGGAAAACGAACCAGCTAGGATGGAGCACTACCTCACAGGCCAAGTGCAGGCTGCATCAACACACAACCAGGAGCCCCTCACAGGGGCGTGCGCCCTCTCTCCCAAGCTCTTTCCTATAGGCAGGAGATGGGAGCAGGCAGGAGACCGGGGAGGGCCCCTACTGGTAATGCAAGTGCCACGTGAAACCCTGTGCATTTCCCTGGACCCTTCTCTCATACGAGCAAAAGCCTTAAGCCACCAGGAGAGGGGCAAGAATAATGCTCCTGCCCCCAAGCTCAAGCAAAGATCCCAAGCTCTGGGGGTGAGGTGGTAGGATATCCTTCTGCTTCTGGAGAAAGGGGTAGGAAATCTTCCTGCCACCAAGCCTCAGGCAAAGACCCACTGCTTGTGGGAAGGGTAAAAGCAAATCCTCTGCCCTGGAGGAGCAACAAGAAACCCTCTTGGGCCCAGGACCTTGCACTAATACAAAGCAGAGATCAGCTACTGCTGGAGAAGGAGCAGGAATACTGAGAAAGCCCCATCCCTGGAGCTCAGTGGCCCAAGCACTGCCTAGGACTGAGGTTGGACCTGGAGAATGGAGAATCCTCCCCTCAACTCCACCGCAAGTCTAGCACCAGGTAACAAGCAACAGCAGTATACCCTGGGAGAGTAGAGAGGGGTCCCCTCTGTGCCACAGGCATACAAGGACTGCTGGAAGCTAAGGGTGAAGCAAGATCATGAAGAAGAAACCTTCTACCACCCAAGGCCCACTCCAGGCACAAGGTCACAGCAGCCTCCAACAGAGGAGTTTAAGGCCTATGGTGCCCTGGTGGTAACCAGAGCAATAACCAAACCCAAACCCAGCACAACTCCTGACCTGATGACATCAACTCAAGCACCCACATGAAGAAGTGATACCTCAGCCTCTATATTCTTCTAAACGTTAATGCCTAGCATTCAATCAAAAGTTGCAAGATACACAAAAAAAGCAAGGGGGGAAGAACTATTGCCAAGAGATAAAGTAATCACAATCAGATTCAGAAATAACTCAGATGTTGGAACTATCAGACTGGGACTTTTAAGTAACTATGATTAACGTGTAAAAGGATCTAGTAAAAAAATGTGGAGATGCATGAACAAATGGAAAATTTCAGCAGAGAGATGGAAACTTTATTATAAAAAGAGTCACACGGAAAAGCTAGGACAAACAATAATATGAAATCAGAAATGAAAAATTAAGCATATTTCAACAGGTTTATCAGCAGCCTGGGAACAGCAGAGGAAAAAAGTCAGTGAACCTGAAGATAAGGCAACAGAAATTATCCAAACTGAAAGACAGAGTGAAAAAAAAAAAAAACACAAAACAAGGATCCAAGAACTGTGGACAATACCGAAGGTCTAAGATACGTGTAAATGGTGTCCCAGGAGAAGGAAGAGAGAGAGAATGGGGTGCAGAAGAAATATGAGAAGACATCATGGATGATAATTTTCCAAAATTAATGACAGACAACAAACTAGATATCCAAGAAGGGCACAGAATCCCCAGCAGGAAATACATTAGCTATTTTAAACACCTAAACAAAAGACTAACGAAAGGTCAAAGCTCCAGTCAGCTGAGTCTAGAGAAACTTTTTTTACCAAATGAGAAGCTAGGCAAAAAGGAGGGGAATGTGCAGTGTTCTGAATGTTACAAAGGAAAAGGTGAATTCCCAGGTGAGTATTAATAATCCTATAAGGAACGCCCGATAGGCCAAAAGGATAAGCATAAACAAACAACTCCCCATCCAAGCCTTTTAAATATGATCCGTCCATGCAGTTTTCTCCTACAGGATTATATCCTTGATTTTATAATGAAAATGTAAGACTCACTCTGGAGATGCTTTAGATATGTTATTCCATCCATACAACAAAGGCTGATTATTTAATATGTACAACTATGCCACGGACAGCAGACTTTAGACATGTATGTACATATGTACATACAAGTAAAGAGGTATTATGTAGTAGTGGAACCCTTTCATCAAATGGTATTTGTTGAACCAATTTAAAGATTAAAGGAAAAAATGAATATGTAAAATGGATAAGGGTGGAAGTAGGTGAACCACTTGTTAGGGGGCCTTTATCTCTGACTACTCAGCCAAATTGTGTGTGCCCTCTTGTCACTTCTCTTCCTCAGCTTTCCGAAGGAAACTTTGGGGCTGAATCGTAAAAAAAAATAATAATAATAATAATAAACATAAACCAGTGCATGCCACATCTTTCTCATGCATCTTATTTTCAACAACTGGAGGGAGTAAAGATTTGTAAAGGCATCAGGGATCATGTGTTTATGACAATACACCCTATTAGACCCAGACCTTGGACTTCACTGCTGATAGTATGAAATTACTGACACTGCACTCACTATGCTAATTTGAAGGAAGCAATCCACTGAAATTACTCTGCAGTATTATCAACCACTGGGGATTCTTTTAGTTCCTGTAATAGCCCTTAAGTTACCTTACCTTTGAAATAAATTCAGTCACTTCAGAGGAAGATTTGGTTACTGATGTTACTGAAGAATCAGACCACAAGACCTTAAAAACAAACAGACAAACCTTAAAAACAGACACCACATACTGAACCCACAGCATACGTCTCATTTATTAGCTGGTGCAGGTTTAGTGAGCACTGTGCACCTTGAGAAGGGAGCGTTTATACACCCTTGACTTGTTAAAAAGGAACATTCATACAACTCAAGTCCATTAATGCTCAACTTCCTGTTGGGTGCAATTCTTCAAATACCACCAAATTACTCAAGCATAGAGTCTAAAGCTCACTCCTCAAAGTTCTAGAAAGTGTTGCCAGTTATAACTGTGTGTGCCAGAGCACACTGTCCTCCGGGGACCTCCTCTCCTTAGAGAAGCACACGACTTTGGGTGCAAAATCACAGAATCATCACAAATCAGCCCACTCATCCACATGCTAGGTGCCCATTATGGGGTAGGTGCTCTGGATACACTGACAAATGAGACAAGGCCCCTGCCCTCAGGAATCCACTGACCAATCCACGGGGGTGCCTATGAGTAAATCTTTGGTACTAGGAGAGGAACAGCAGGGAAAATCACATGAGAAGGGGTGGGAAGAGGGAATCCAGGGAGAGAGTATCAGAAAGGGCTTTCTGGAAGAAGTTCTACAAAGCCTGGTACACCAAAGACTGGATCACAGCATCCATTTTTGATTCCCAGCACTTTTACTTCTGTTGGTAATTGTACTTCATTACTTCATAAACGTCCATCTCCCCAGTGGACTGTGAGCTTCCTGGGGGAGGGGCTATGTCTTTTTTTCTCCATTTTCTCCCAGTGCTGATCACAATGTTTACTACGTGAGGTGCCAAATAAGTATGAGTGAGAGAAGGGGAGAGAGTACTTTTCCACGAGAGTTTTCTGCTTTGAGAACAGCATGAGCTCAGCTGGGAAGGGCAGGTACGAAGTCCATGAACTGAGTAAGACGGGCAGAGGAAACAGGTTACATACATGAGAGGCAGGCAGGGGCCAGATTAGGAGGGGTTAAATCATGGAATGTTCCCAAAAGTTCAAGGGAAGCCACTGGAGGATTTTATGCCAGGAAATAAAATGAGCAAATGTATTTTATTACCCCAAAAGAGACCATTCTATTTACACCTGCTCCTCACTTATCAACTATCTCGTTATCCAACACTTCGCATTTATGGCAACAGTAAAAAATCTACTATCCAACTATTTTGCGCATTAACGACGTACATCTGGCAGTAACGAAAGCCAAGGTGTGAGGCGAGAGTAATGCTGGCTGTGGTGATAAAGGTTATGTGTCAACTTGGCTGGGCCATGATTCTCAGCGGGATGGCCGTTATATAATGATGTAGTCATCCTCTAATTTTGTCATCTGATGTGGTCATCCTCTATTTTCGCATAATGCTGATTATTGCATAATGACCTGATCTTTGGAACCTAACCATGTCAATAAGTGAGGAGTGGGTGTATACTGATTTAGAGCAATTAGCACTTGGAGATATCAAGGATGACACCTGTCCCCCCAGGCCCCATCTGCTGAAAAATGCCCCCATGACATGTGCTTCCAGAAGCCTCTGTCCCCCTCGGCCTGGAATGGCTCAGCCATGTCTGCTGAGATTCACACTTACTGCTTTCCTGGTTCAGTAGCTGTCACACCACAGAGTGACTGCTAATGGGTCGGCTGTATTGAGCTCCCATCAAATACAAGCCAGCTGAGGAGGCCCATCTTTTTCACCTCTCAACTTCCAATGCCCATCAGAACGGACTGGCCACTCTTGGATGGACTGTTACTACAAAGGTGCCTTACCACCCAACTCTTATCTACTCCTAAATAAAAACATCAAAATTGCTTTTCTGTCTGAAAAACTCAAATCCTGTAACAACACTAAAAAGAAGTTTGGAGGAATGGTTAATAAACCGCTACGCACATACGACAGTATTAACACCTACGATTAAAAGTGAGAACAATTCTGGTCTTTAAGATCTTCCACCCAAAGCACTGCTGACATGTGTGTTTCAAAGTAAAATACATAAAGAAAAACTTCTGTTTTCCATACAACTCATGCTTTGAGCAAAGCCTGATTCCCATTTTGACTTGTTTCTTTTCTTCCACATTCATACCACATGAATGCATCCTAACCCAACTATAAGATGAAATCCAACACCCAAACAATAAGTACACCATGAACGGGTCGCTTTACGTTGAAACACAATGTCTTCACTGACAATTATGTTCTTTAAGTATTTAAGAGTATCCTAAGTTGGTTGTTCCTGATGTTTTTCTTTTACTGCTTTCCAACTGAAGTTGGTATTTCAACCTAAGCAGGTATAAAGCAAGAACTGGAAACCAAGAGCCCACTTCTAGGCTGAATTCAGCACCGTTACACTTTGCAAACGATTTGGCTCTCAGTGCAATGAGGTAGATACAGAAACTGAGATCACCTAGAGACTTTCAGAGCAATTTGATACTGCTCCAACATCCAAGCATACTGTTTATCCACTGCTTATCGTATGTTCTAAGTGTCCGTTCTCCATGGGTTAGAAATTTAAAAACCAAACCAAATCCTGGTCTTTCCTCACAGAGTTTGAGAGGCACTGCTCTAGAGAATGCAGACATGTCACCTATCTCCAGTACCTCCCTTGGGGACTCCACCGCATGTGTGCATACTGAAATGGTCTGAGCAGCTGACAATAGAGAGCAGCGTTTTCATCAGACGTGGATGCTTACGTGTTAAGTGAACGAACTGAGAATTCTCACTGCTTATTTCAAGAGAGATTTTTTAAATAACAGTTGCTATTATCCTTCAGAATTAGTGTTGCTTAAAAACACTGTATTAAGCTACTTTTCTGAGGCAGAAATGGCTTCTGCATTTTATTACTGGGACTAATCTTGATATTTAATGTTAAGTGTGTTAATATATACTACTGAACAAAAACCACCTTCAAAGATCATGACCAAAGACAGAGGCAAATCATGAGAGGCAGGCTGAAAACTTTTACTTGGTACATTCTTTAGGTTAATGCATTTAGGCGGTATAGTTTTATCTAACTACAAAAAATTTTTATATTTTTCCCTGAAAGACTACATCCACCAAATGGCATATACATTCAGAGGAATAAAGAAAGAAATGGTTAATGCCAGACTAAACTCTAGGCTTGTTCTGGACAGAGATCCCCTGCCCCCCAGCCTCAGGGGCAGCATCCCTCATGGGAACCCAGCTAGACTTCTGGTACAGAGGGTAGACTGGAACCATGCACTGAACTCCAGCCACTTTGTAAACCTCACAAAAGTGATACTCAGGGATATCTGAGAAGTGTAAACTCAGGGCAAGGAGGCCGAGCAGGAGCTGTGGAAGTACAGATCCGCCTAGGGCTGACCCACTCCTGGGATGAGGGTGGCGAGCGCAGTGGGTCTGCACTGTGGCAGCACCTGGTGAGCCTGAGCAAGGTGACGATGAGACTAGAACAGAGGACTGGTTCAGCAGGTGCCCTGGAAGCAGTCAGAGCCCCACCCTGATTCTGGAAGCTGGGTGGCCCTCCTTCTCCCCACCTTGAGAGAAGCCCAGAGCTGCGAAATTTTATACCGTGTTATCAATCACATCAGGGTAGATAGATATTCATCGAATGTCAGGGTCGATGGATAAGGACACTTCCAGACATAGAAGTCTCACAGCACATATGTCCCCAGTACCCTTTCTACGAAGGGTACCAGAGCAAGTACTCCACCAAAACAAGGGAATAACCCAAGAAAAAAGATGTCATCCAATCCAAGAACAGGGAATCCAAGTCAGGAGAGAGGAAAGACCTGCAGGGTGATGATGAGGGGAGACCCCAAGATGAGAGCCTGTGCACACATGTGTCCCAGGTGTGAAGACTATCAATCACGTCCAGGGTGGAGCAGGCCAGAAGGCTCCAGGAGGCAAAACTCCGAAGGGGCCATGCGGACAGACTGCTGGCCTATCCCAATGCCACAGAGGAGTCTAGACAGCCATAGACAATGCAGGGGTCGAACAGTACTTGTCACTAAGCAAATGAAAAACAGAGACGACTCCAGAGAAAACAAAATGTAGGCACGAACGGAAAAGTAGTAAAAACATACCTTGTGGCTCAGCTATGGACAGCGTTCACAGTCATACCAATGCCAACACCAAACCCTGATCTGATTAGGGCCAGGCTCTGAGTATCGCGGGAAGCACCACAGGAGCAGGGCCCTGCTACTGTGGGCAGTGTCTTCCAGTGGGCTCTTTAAACTATGCACACGTGTATCTGACAAAAATGTAGACTACATTAAAAATAACCACCAGGACTCATCGTTTGCTAACAGTGATGAGATATTCAGAACAGTTGAGATGGTTTTGAGATAATAAACTTTAAAGAAAAGATATGGCACTAAAACAAATGTAGTGTCTGAGTTTTTAAGGAAGAATGGTACAATAGTTGTTTTTTGTATTGTTTTCTAGTTCTTTTTAAGTCAACAAAACTCTATAATCTAACAGGTGTTTCAAGGTTTAGGTAACCTTGTGTTTTTTTTTTAATGTGTAATAAGAAAGAAACTTCTTTAATTAAAAAAAAGTTTAAGATACTCCAATTTCTCAACAGTGAATTTGAAAAAGCTACAAGTAACAAAACTGGTAAAATCTGGAACCTGCTTCCAGAGTTACCGATTTGATTTCTTCAGTAACTGGTAACTAGCAATTACAATTTTAGCACAAACAAAACCAAACTCCTTGGGAATGAATAGAAACTCAAACTCCTATCTGCAGTCACTTTATAAATCCTGTTATCATCTTAATCCAGTTACTTACATCTTCCTAGGAAAGAGTAACCTTTCCTTTTATCCTGGAAAACAATGATACATAAAAATTAAAACAAAAGGTCAATCAGGCTGAAAAAAATTGGTGGGGTATGGGAGAAGTGATTTTCTTTCTCCCATAAAAGTGAAGCCTTTCAGAAAATGTTCCCCTAAATTGTCCTACACTGTTATCAATGGACTCTCACATCTTAGGTACAGAAAATACTCCTAGGAAGCTGCTGTTTTGGTCATAGCATAGTAGCTACTTATTCCTATGCTACTTTCCATTCCCACCAGCAGTACATGAGAGCCCCAGGTCTTCCACATACCCACCAACACTTGGTACGGGCAATTTTTTAATTTTTTAGCCATTCTAACTGGGTGTGGTAGCATCTCACTGTGGCTTTAATTTGTATTTTCCTGACAACTAATGATGTTGAACATCTTTTCATATGCTTAATTGCCATCCATATAGCTTTCTTGGTGAAGTGTCTATTCAAATATTTTACCCATTTTTTATTGGGTTGTTTTCTTATTACTGAGTTTTGAGAGCTGGGATCTAATTCTGAGTTATCTGTTCTGTTCCATTGGTTTACAGGGCTCTCTTTCCACCAACACCATAGTGTCTTGATTAGTGTAACTTGTTTATTTTTGAAGTTAGGTAGTGTGAGTCTCCTAATTTTTTTCTTCTTCTCAGAATGGGTTTTGCTACTCTAGTTCTTTCTCTATAAATTTTAGAATCAATCTGATTTCTAAAAAAAAAAAAAGAAAAATTCCCCACTGGGATTTTTATCACATTTGCTTTAAATCCAGAGATGGGTTTGGGGACAATGGACGTCTTAGCAATACCGTTATCCAACCCAATAACATCAAGTTAGCACCACAGTATATCTACTTAGTTAAGTCTTCTTTGATTTCATCGTTATTTTATAGTTTCAAGTATATTAACATTACAAATATTTTATTACGTTTATACCTCACTTCATGGTTTAGGTTTTTCTACTGTTCATTTCTAGTACAGAGAAATACAACTAATTTGTATACAGACCTTGTATCATGTGACCTGGCTAAACTAATTTATTAGTTCTAGTAGCTTTTTTGTACATTTTTGGAGATTTTCTATGTAGTCAATCATCTGCGAGTACAGACAGTTTGGTATCTTCCTTTCCAGTCTGTATGTGTCTTTTATTTCTCCTCCCCTTACTGCACTGGCTGGAACCTCCAAGGTGATGCTGAATATGACTGCTAAGAGCAGACATCCTTGCCTTGTTCCCAAACTTGGGGGGAAATGCGCTCTGTCTCTCACTATTATGTGAGGTTTTTGTAGAGGCCCTTTCTCAAGTGGAGCAAGTTTCCTTCTATTCCTAGTCTACTGAGAGGTTTTATCCAGAATGGATGTGGAGTTTTATCAAATGCTTTTTCTGAACCTATGGAGACAACCCTGGGAAAGAGTAGAGATGAGAGGGTCTAGATCCAGGTTCTGAGGAATTGCCAACCATTCTAACAATCGAGAACCAGGTAAACGAGGGTGAGCCTCAATGAAAAAGCAGGCTGTGAGAAAGCAGACAAGAAGTCAGAAGAAGAGAATTTTCAGAAGGAATGAGCATTCAATAGTGTCAGTTGCTGCTAAGAGGTCGAATAAGACGAGGACTGAAGACCACCCAGTGGATTTAGTAACACAGGGATCACTGGGGATGTTGATGAGAGTGACTTATATAAACTTGTAGGAATAACAGCCAGGGTGGTTTGGCAAGAAAGAGTGGGAGAGGAACGGGAGAGAGCAATTTTAGACAACCATTTTGAAAAATGTGGTATGAGTGGGAAGAGAACAGTAGAGTGGTAGCTGAAGAGGATGTGGGGGAGCACTCAAGATGGAAGTTGGGTGTGTTGAAAGGTATGTTAGATTATCTTCTCTGCTTGCTAGCCGCCCAGCTTACTTGCTTTACAAGACTACAGAAGCTGACATCTGCTAGGTATGAACCGCCACAGTTAACTGCCAGGAGCTCTTATGTGATATACGTGTGGCTAAAACACCCTACAAGCGGCCGCTTATTTAAGAGTGGGCAGGCAGGCACAAGTCAGCAGCAGTGACCTAACACACATACAGTTCAAGCTGTGCAAATGGGCACAACTTCTATAAAGAAGACAGATTTAAAAATACTAATCATATCCTTTCTCTGTGCCTTGAGTTACCACTCAACAAATGCAGTTTTGGCTGCAAGTATCTTGGGCATATCAAGCTAACACCCCAAAAGAAAAACTAGTTGGACCGTTGGGTAGTGAAGGATTATCAATGCCCTAAGCACAAGAATACCTTACTAGTTATCACACCAGGAAAAGCAAACTTTCCACATAATTGAAGCTTTTCCTTTAAATGCTAAAACACTGCAGTGTAACTGTTTGGGGTAGAAAACATCTTAATCTGAGCATCTGGCCCTTGTGACAGTTGTCACTGTTAATGCAAGCAGGAGTCTCTACACTAATGCAGCAAGCTCAGACCTACCATGAGGCCTGGGGCTACAGGTTTCTTCTGAGTTGTTAGTTTGCTTTCTGAGGACTCGGAGCCTTGTGTCTGCCCCTGCCAACCTGCTGCTCCTACCCTTCCTGGTCCCAGCTCCCTCCTCCTCAAAGGAGAGTATGTTTGCCACAGCTCATTGCTTTAGAAAAAGGCTGTCAAGAGTCATGTGGTACAAAGTTACCACATCTCACACTGATGACCCTGAGTTCCTTGTCACAAACACTTGGACTGAGAATAGCGGCCAAATCAAAGTCCACTGTCATCAAATCGATGTAAGTAAAGCCAGCCACTCCTGAAAAGCCTCGATCACACTTTTCTGAATAAGCACTCCCCAATGGAGGCTGAAGCTGACTCCCCATCAGCCCCTCTCTGAGGATGCTGACTGTAAGATGGAGATAACTAACGACAGGAAGGAGTAAGGTACAATTGCTTCTGCAGAGGCCACAAGGCACCCAGGTTACTTGGATTGTGGCCAGCTCACGGGGTTAAGAGCGCCACTGTGGCATTTCTGAGAACACCTGTGAGACCTGCTGTACAGGACAACCTTGAAGACACTGGGATCCAGAAGACTCTGAGGTTGCTGAGACCCAGGCACTACGGTTACAAGCCTCCCCAGGTACTTTTTCAACAACTTCCAATCTAAGGTAATCTAGCCTTTTTCTTACACTTTGAAAAAACAAATCTAAAGCTTAACAACTGATTCTCAAAATGCAGTACGTCCCAAATCAAATGAAGACTTTATCCTTTTAGTGGTAAAAGTATTTAAAGTATTTTGATGTAGCTACATTCTTTGAAAAATGAGTAAAACTGCACATAGTATACAGAGTAGATACTAACCAGCTTTTTTATTCCCAAGAGCATGCCCCAATAACTCTGGGAGCAGATTTTCATTATCAACCAGGCTTCAATAACGCATCCGGGTCAAAGGAGAACCTAACATAGCATGACGGGCATGTGAGAGAACCCTTGATTGTGAGTTGGGACACACCAGTCAGAACACATTCCTCAGCCTCTTCTGCAGCCAAGTGGGATGAAAAACTAAGTTCTGGCCATTAATAAGTGGCACTGTCTAGTGGCTGCTTCCAGTAACATCGTTTAAAAGAAATATAAACAGTTGCCTTTCCCCTACCCTCCTACATCCTGAATCTTGCTGCTTGGGATACAAAAACGCCAAGACCAGAGCCCCAGCTGCCACCTTATACCATGAGAGAATGAGGGCCACATCCTAGGGATGTCAAAGCAGTCACCGGAGGAAGCCTGGGCCCCTAGGTTTTTAGGGAGCACAGCTGCCCTGGGCCACCTCCTTGTAGACTCTGATGTGAGAGAGAAGTGGCCTTTTATGTTGTGTAAAGCCACCGTTACTGTGCAGCTCTGATCTTAACTCTAACATGCAGAATGTCTCAATTTTCATGATGCTTCACGTCATCTACCTTCAATGACCAACGAACAGCAACTGGGCATATTGGCCTGGAGGCCTTCACTGCACAGGTGCGTCAGAGTGGAGGCCCTCACTGCACAGGCACATCAGTGTGGAGGCCCTCACTGCACAGGCGCGTCAGCCTGGAGGCCCACAAGGCCCTCACTGCACAGACTTGTCAGTGTGGAGTCTCTCACTGCACAGGCCCAGGAGGTTTTGCCATCTAGTGTGTGCATGAGAAGAGGAGCAGCTCAGCTTTTAGGCAGGTACCAAACTCCAGACACTATGCTAAGTGCTTTGTATGGCTGTTTCATTTAATATCCTCCTTTATAAGTGGGGAGCCCTGGTGGCTCAGTGGTTAAGTGTCTGGTTGCTAACCAAAAGGCTGGCAGTTCAAATCCAACAGCCGCTCCTTGGAAACCCTTTGGGCAGTTGCTATGAGTTGGAATCGACTCGACAGAAAGGGTTTTTTTTTTTTGTTTTTTTGTTTTTAAAACACATGGAGACATTGGGCATGGAGAGTTCAGGCACTGTCCTAGGTCACAGAGCTCATAAAAGGAGAGAGAGAACAGAAATCCTTAATGCCAGGCTGTTCCAGAGCCCACACACCCCTTCCCCTTGTAGGTGCAGGGAGGGAGCAGCCCCCCAGGCCAGAACCTGACCACCCCCAGTGTGGAGCTTGGCTGCCAGTGGGACCCAGGCCCACTTGCCTATCTCCCACAGCACCAACACAGGGCTTGGCAAACAGGCACATCTGTTAAATAACAGCATCTATTGGTGGTAAATATTTTCTTCCTACTCCTTAGAGGAGAGAGAGCAAAAAGAAAAAAAAAAAAAAAAAAAACTTAGCATCTTACCTCAAAGGAACATTCAACATTTCTTTCATTTTTTTTGTGTGATAATCCTTTCAGGTCTATCTTTTCAACACTCACTGTAAAAGTAAAAAAACAAAATTATAAAAATGAAATAAAATCTTGAGGTATATGTAGTTATTTGGCATTTGACACTTCAGCAGTTTTCACACAAGGCTGTCGCACTTGGTGTTGTTCAGTCACGTCTGTAGTGCCCTTGCCCTTATCTAGAGTCAGAAACTTAGCAGGAAGGAAGAAGGCTAACATTTAGGTCTGGTAGTAAATTTATAAGTAAATAGAAGACACAAGCAAAAAAACAAACCACAGAAGAGAAAAGAGAAAAAAACAGTACTTGAAAATAGAACTGAAGTTTACTTGAATGCACAAGAGTACTAACTCCGATTATAATTGGGTCTCTGTGCTAACCCTCAAAGGTTATGAATCAGTTCTGATTTATAAAACACTAATGCTCAACGAAAGAAGCCCTGGCAGCGCAAGTGATTAAGTGCTTGGCTGCTAACAGAAAGGTCGACGGTTCGAACCCACCAGCCACTCCGCAGGAGAAAGACGTGGCAGTCTGCTTCTGTAAGATTACAGCCTTGGAAACGCTATTGGCAGTTCTACTCTGTCCTACAGGGTCCCCATGAGATGGCATCGATTCACCGGCAATGGTTTTGGGTTTGGAATGCTCAACGCACTCAACTGCGATTGTTTTAAATGCTATTTCTCAAAGCACAGTCACCCAGGCAGTCTATTATTTGTGTCTTCCTGTCATTAGAATATATGCTCTCCCTTCTATGACAGGGGAAGGATAGGGGTGATCAGGACACCGGTTATAAAGAAACAACAGACTACTAACACTGCCTCTAAAGATCATAAGGATTGTCAGAGAGTAGTCACACAAGATACAAACAAAAAGCACCAATTTTAAGAAGGCAATTTAATAGAATATATACAATATATACATGGAAAGCTAGCTAAACACAAAGCTTAACTCACATCTACCGTAAACCAAAATTTATTCTAAGTAACACTAAACTAACTTATCTTTTAAATCTTTAGAAGGTGGCTAGAAGGAAAAAAGTGAGAGAATAAAATTGAAAAGACACTATCCAGTTTAATTTATTTAAACACAACAGAAAATGAGCCTGAATTAAGCAACATTAATCACGAGTGTTTAAAAGAGATGCACTGTAACAGGAACAAGCTAATTCGCTGCAGGATTCTTTCAGCAGGCTCTTAAAGAAAACTATCTGTGAGTGCAGAGAGATGGACGAGGGTGCCACTGCCTTCACACCCAGTGGGCCGGGCTCCTCCTTCCCAGGCGACTTCCATTGCGAAACTCACTCTAAAGTCCAGTGTGCTATGTTGTGAGCCCCTAGAAGGTGGAGACCGTGCACTAGCTAAACAAAGATGAACACTCACACTCACTGAGGCCCCTACTCAGCCCTGGCTGTCTCTCAGTGTGTCCCTCAACTTCAGCACAGAGCCGGGCACAGAGCAGACACTGGACACACGCGGGCATGAAGAAACATACAACACACGTCAGATGTCATACCTGAGCTGTCCATCTTGATCTATATTGTTTTACTGAATTTGCTGAAATGTATTAACAATGACCTTTGCTAATAAATGACATTAAACACACAAGATACTTATGTTCACCTACACTTTCAAAATATAAGACAGTGACAGAAGCAGGAAAGGAATGAGAAAGTCAGTAACTGAATACAAGGTGTCACTAAAACAGGTAAACCCTTGTAGAACAAAAAGGAATGCTATGGCAGAAACAACTGACTGCTCGCCCCAGAACCACTTGTCGCTAGTGACAGAAGATTTAGCTGGGCATCACATTTCCCAGTCTCCCTTGCAGCTGTGACTAGGTTCAGGCGAAAGGGATGAAAATCCCGAATCAGACCCGAGAGGTGAGGACTGTCCCACCCAAGTGGCTCTTCCTCACCACACCACCTGGAATAAGGGCGGGAAGAGCAGCTAGAGCCAATTGCTGAGGAGGGAAGACAACCTGACAGAAGGGGTACACTCAACACCCAAGGCAGCCATCCTGGCCTCATCTGCTCTGAGGACAACACCAAGGCTCTCACCTGGCCTGGTCCTCCTCCTTGCCCTGGGCTTCCCCACTCTCCTCAAAGTGGGCATAGCATGTGACCACTTTGGCCAGTAGGTCATAGGGCAGAAAGGACATCTGTCATTCGAGGCTGCAATCACAATCTTGTGAGGAGTGATTTAAGAATCAGCCTTGAAGACATACAGGGTGCAAACACATGGTGCCCGCCTGAAATGAACAGAATATCATGCTTTCTTTCTTCCTTCCTTGAGAAGGAAGGGTGCACACAGCCAACCACTATTAACATCTAACTTTCTATTATTTTTTCATGGTTAACTTTTTTTTTTTTTTTTTTAATTTTAAATGTTTACATTTC